TATAACGAATCAGACCCTTGGGCCCATCAAGGTCAGCATCGCCCACTCAGACAGGCTGAGGCCTTTCACGTCACCTCGTGCCCGGTCTGGAGAGGCCGGGGATGTACTTCTTCACCGTCAGAGTGGTTCAAAGGCGGAATCAGCTGCCTAAGGAGGTGGTGAGCTCCCCTTCACTGGCAGCTTTCAAGAAGAGGCTGGACGGATATTTGTCAGAGATGCTTTAGGCTGGTCCTGCACTGGGCAGGGGGTTGGACTAGATGGCCTGTATGCAGGGGTCATTTCCTGCAGGAGCGCACAGGAGCGGAGCTCCGGCAGTAAAGAGTCCAGGGGGCGGGCACATGCAACAAGCCCCACCCCCTGCTCCCAGCAGCCCTCAGTCAGAGCAAGAAGCAGCCAGGTAAGTTGCAGAGCCCCCCGCTGCCCCCCTGGTCCAAAACAGTCCAGTGGCACCTTTAAGGCCACGTTTTATTCAGGTACAAGCTCTCCCTCCTCTGTGAGGGCAGATCTGCATGTCCCCCCCCCCAATAAGCTAGCAATCCAAAACAGTTCAGTGGCGTCTGAGTGGTGGGTGTTGCCTTCTGACACACGTCCGGTGATGTCAGGGTGTGTGGCATATGCAAATGAGCTATGCAAATGAGCTCATGCACCCCCTTTTCTATGAAATGACCCGTGCCTGTATGGCCCTTTCCAACTCTATGATTCTGTATTATTTCCAGTATATACAACTACTTCTGACACCAGGCCAGATAGATTTGTGTCCCCAAATAGAAATCTTTAGGTGTGTCATTCAATTCCAGATTGGAACATTCAATTTTGGGTCCTATATTATTAATTGTTTATTGCTCTTACATCTCTTACAGGGACGTTGTTGCTTGTTGTATTTTGTACTCTGTACTCTTGGGCCTCTGAAGAAGGCTGTTGTGAGCTGAAACGTGTCAGGTCACACACTGTTCTTTTTTTGTGTGCATTGTGCACAAAAATAACGCATTTTATGAGGCGTTATTGGGGCCCCTACAAGGTTTTTATATGTCTCTGAAATGAACACTCTTTTGTCTGTATTTACGTTTTTAACTTTTGGCCCTCAGTAAGTTTTCTAGACTTCCTTTGGAGGCTGATGCCGGGGATTGAACCTGGGACCTTCTGCCTGTCAAGCAGTCTCTACCACTGAGCCACACAGCAGACTTGCGTGAGACCTAGAAACCTGCTGTACTTTAAAAACAACGGAAGCGGAGAAACCCGAGAAGCGAAATTCAGTGTTCATTGGTCTGCACTCCAGGCCCTACGATTGAATGACCTCCCAAACGGCCTATCGTGAACGGCCTTGCTCAGGTCTTGCAGACTGAGGGGGCAGGGCGGGGCTTCCTTGATGGAATCCATCCCTCTCATGTTGGGTCTTCCGCTTTCCCTGCTGTCTTCCGCTTTTCCTAGCATGACTGTATGTTCCAATGAGCTTAGACACAGGTGGGTAGCAGTGTTCCCTCTGAGTCCGTGTGAGCCGGCTCACAGTTTCTTAGCCTCCGGCTCACACATTTTTGTCGTCGCTTAGGAAGGAGGGCTCCGGAGCAAACTGATTTATGCAGTGGCCAAATTGCCTGCTCACAACTGTAATGCCAGCGGCTCACAAAGTAGAAGTTTTGCTCACAAGACTCCACTGCTTAGAGGGAGCATTGGCCCAAAGCAACAGAACAAAGCTCGAGTCCTTTAAGACCAACAACGTTCAGTTCTGGGTGTAGGCTTTTGCGTGCATGCGCACATTGACCTGAAGACATGTGCATGCGACACGAAAGCTGACACCCAGAACAAAACGTTGTCGGTCTCAGAGATTCCACTGGACTGAAAACGTTGTTCTGTATTTTCTGGTGACTTCTGGTCTTCTCGTAATGCGACCGAAGTACAATACCATCACCACCACCCCCGGTTGAGTCATTTTTAACTTCTAGGGAGAGGTCAGGCTTGATCTGGTCTGGAACCCACTGATTTTGTCTTTTCGGTGGTCTCTCTCTGACATCGTCCTCTGACACCTCATTTGTAGCATGCTTGCATCAAGCCTAGAACCCCGGAAAGAGCAGCCGGGGACGAACGAGGGAATGCAATGTCCCGTAAGCCGCCCATTTCGGGACAGACCCCCATATGAAAGGAAATGCTCCCAAGACTGATTTAGGGAGTTTTCTTTCACAGACACTTCTCCAGTGATCTGAACACAAACACTCCCCATCAGCAGACTGGGCAAGGAGGGGTGGAGCCCGCCGACGAATCCTGCCTTCGAGAGAGCGGGGCCAACTCACCAGCCGCTTGGCCTCCTTCTCCTTCTTCCGCTGCCTCTCTGTCTTCTTCTCTACCACGGCCGCCGGGGTCAAGGGGGGAGCCGGACCTGAGCCCGCCTGAAGCGCCTCCTTCTCCGGCTTCGAGGGCTCCCCGTGCTCCTCCTCGTCGCCAGAGTTGTCCTCCTCCAGAAGCCCCTCACACTGTTCCCGGAAGACTGTCTCCTGTAAATGTGCAAAGGCGTGAACAAGGGGAGCAGCGAAAGACATAGGCACTCGTGTACACATGCACGCGTACTCCATGAAGCCCAGCCTGCACGGTGTGTGTGTTTTTGGGGGGTCATTCCACATTATGGGTCCTAGTTTGTTGTAGAGAGCATTTCGCCAGCCAATTCAAAATTGAAGGCTTCTAGCCGGGGAGAGGAGGACTGGTTGCTACTACCATAAATATATACAGTGTTCGTGGAGAGCTCTTAAGCCAGCAGAATACAGGAGGGCTTTTGCACCTATATAAAAGAAGACAAGACTGGCTGGCTCCTTTATAAACACTTGAACATGGAACCAGAAGTGAGTTTAATAAATAAATAAAATTAAGAACTAAATAATTCACATTACAAATTAATATGAAAAGTTTGTGTAATATTCCACTCAGCTCCATGCTGCTTATTCGTTTAAAACGCCATGGGTTGTTTTTCAGGATTCTTTGAAAAATATGAAGAAGAAATTTAAAGACTGGGTTGCTCTTAAACAGAACACTGAGCTGGAGCCAGAGGCTGACACCTTCGTTACTACAGGAGGACTCCTGAGGAAGATTGGGACGAGACGAGTCTATGTCTGGATGCTCGTTGAGAGAATGACGGACCTGTAACATTGCCAAGTTTTACAATATAATGTGATTCTCACTTAACACGTGTTGTCATCTATATCACAGCGTCTGTTTGTTTGTTGCACCACCTGGAGACTGGCAACCCCGAGAGACAGAGACAGACGAGAGAGACAGAGACGAGAGAGACAGAGACGAGAGAGACAGAGACAGAGACGAGAGAGACAGAGACGAGAGAGACAGAGAGAGACAGAGGGGGGGGGCTTTCCCCACAACCATCGCCAGGCCTTCTCTCTTTGCCTTTCGCTCCCCCAGTCCCCCCCTCCGGGCAGAAGGAAAGGAAAACTGCCCTGCCTCTTCTGGTCAGTTTCACTCCCCTCCTTTCAGCTATTAAACCTAACAGCTGATGGGTGGGTAGGAGGGGGGTGGGGAGTGAAACCGACCAGAAGCTGCAGGAAGGCTTCCCTTTCTTTCTTCAGCCTGGCGGCTGCGGGCCTACATACACTGGTGGTGGGGCTGTCTGCCATCAGGTGGGTGGGGCGGGGCTCGTGGGCGGGCCTGCTGAGACGACCCATTAAATGATGCAAACTGCAAACGTTTACACAGTAGGATCCTAGTTCCGGCAAGCTAAACGCAGCAGTACAGACCACCGTCCCTGATCGTCTGTCCAAGCAACTTTGCGAATCGTATAGTCCAGGCCAACTCTATGGCCCTGTGCAGAAAAGCCCTCGTGGATAATTCAGTTTTGCATCATATGTGGAAAGCCAGGAGACAGGGAGCTTTCCTGACCCTCTAAGCTGAGTTAGTGTGAGCTAGCTCACGGCTTTTTTAGCCTCCAGCTCACACATTTTTGTCTTTGCTCAGGCAGGGATGGCCACGGAGCCAACTACTTTACGCCGGCGCCAAATCGCTCGCTCACAACTTTAATGCCCATCGCTCACAAAGTAGAAGTTGTGCTCACAAGACTCCACGGCTTAGAGGGTGCGTTGGTCTCGGAGTGGTTTATAATCTCCTCTCCCTTCCTCTCCCCACAACAGACACCCTGTGAGGCAGGTGGGGCTGAGAGAGCTCTGAAAGAACTGTGACTGACCCAAGGTCACCCAGCCGGCTGCATGTGGAGGAGGAGTGGGGAATCAACCCCAATTCTCCAGATTAGAGTCCTGGTGCTCTGAGCCACTGCACCAAGCTGAGAGACCACAAAGGAGAAAGCCCGCGTGTGTGGGGTTGCTGATCCTGCCACTTGGCAGGTTGGCACTTGTCAGACGGCCCCTTATTTCAATCCACGGCTCCCTGAGGGTCTTCTCCTCTTCCTCAGTGCCCACAGCAGGCACGGAAGGCTGTTTCCTGACGCTACTCAACCTGGGACGTTTTGAATGCCATCTCTGAGCCAACATGAATGTCCCCAAGTCCACAGCCGGATGGAAATTCCCCAAATCTGCGTACAGACCAGGCGGGGCTTCTGGCAACCGGCCGGCTTCGGCCAACCAGCACTGCTCCACACCCCAGTGGCGGCACCGCACTGACCACCGATCGCTGTCAAGGGCACGGGGGACTGCATCTGTGTCCCAGGTCTAACACGGCAGCCATCGTGAGACCCGGGGTGGTTGCCAACTCCTTCCCTGGGGGTTCCCCCTTGTGTGCGCGGGACATGGCTGCAAGACCCCCCCCCCCCCCGGCACCTCCAGGCAGGATTACTTACAGCTTCCCGTGGGCCGGCACATCCCTTTAAATTGATACAGCGCTCAACCGCTCAGGCCTATTAGGAGGCTAAATATACCATCTCTCCAAGCCAAGCGCTGAGAAAGAGGGGTGTTGACGGGAGCAGCTAAACCGAATTGCTTTCACATATGTAGATATGAAGCTGCCCTATTAAGAATCAGACCACTGGGTCCGCTGAGGTCAGTCTTGTCTGCTCAGACTGGCAGTGGCTCTCCAGGGTCTCAGGCGGAGGTCTTTCCCATCACTTCTTACACGATCCTTTTAACAGGAGATGCTGGGGATTGAACCTGGGACCTCCTGCATGCCAAGCAGACGCTCTGCCACTGAGCCACAGCCCCACTTCATGGCTCTCCGGGGTCTCAGGCGGAGGTCTTTCCCATCACTTCTTACACGATCCTTTTAACAGGAGATGCTGGGGATTGAACCTGGGACCTCCTGCATGCCAAGCAGACGCTCTGCCACTGAGCCACAGCCCCACTTCATGGCTCTCCGGGGTCTCAGGCGGAGGTCTTTCCCATCACTTCTTACACGATCCTTTTAACAGGAGATGCTGGGGATTGAACCTGGGACCTCCTGCATGCCAAGCAGACGCTCTGCCACTGAGCCACAGCCCCACTTCATGGCTCTCCGGGGTCTCAGGCGGAGGTCTTTCCTCTTCAGCTCGACTTCGTGGGCCTGGAGGAGCAGAGCCTGCAATGGAGGAGGAAGAGGAGAGAACGGCATAAGGAGACAAAGGGTAGGATAGAGGCCTGCGATCCCATTTCCACCCAGGCCCTTTTCCCTGATCGACGGAACACAAGAGAAGCCAATGTTGGATCAGGCCGACGGCCCACCCAGTCCAACACTCTGGGTCACACGATGGCCAGAAACACCAGGGGCCATCAGGAGGTCCACCAGCTGGGCCAGGACTCCAGAAGTTTTCCCACTGTGGGACCCCCCCCAACCACCAAGAAG